CCCCCCCAAGGCCCAGGTAAAATGGATACCTTGGGCACACCCACCTTACGTACATCACACAGGTGGGCCTGAACTCCGCCAATGGGATCAACCAATACTTTCAACCTCGCCTTCCCAGCCAGAGGTGTTAAAGACCCCAGCTGTGGGAAGGCCATCTCTCTTTCGCTCAGGTCTTGTGGCAGGTCAGGGGGTGGGGAGCACATGCCCGATGCCCACTCCGGGGCCTCCTCCGGGCCCACATGCCCTTGGGTTCTTAGGCTCTTGCTGACCTGCTCTCTTGGTTTCTTGACCTCTTGGTCCCCGGGGATTCCCCACTTTGGCTCGTTTCCACGTGGTTTTTCATGCCACGTTGTGAACCCCAGCGTGGCTTCCGCGAGGCTTGGCATGCTTTCCAGAAGCAGCACGCACCCTTTTGAGACCGTAAAACCCGAAACCTTTCCTTCCCTTCGTGAAAACCCACTTGGATTACGAAACGTGCTTCTGCGGCGTACATTTGCTCAGCGCCGGGCAGCGAGAACTGAGGTTTACCGCCCTCCAGAACGCTAACAATTCCACTAGCGAGGCATGTGGGAATCGGTGCGATTTGGATAGAAAAACATACCTATGCATTCCACGTTGGTTCCCATGAGGAGAGAGGGACGCGTGGGCCTTGGACGGGCAGTGTCTCCTGCCCTCCATCCATCCCAGCCCACAACGACGCCCCCCCCCCAACCCCCACCCCAGGTGACCCCATAGAAGATTAGTGCTTCCAGCCAGGGCTTGCTTTGAACTGGCTCATTCTGGTTCTACCCCACATAGACGGAATCAGAGTCCACATTTTAAGGAGGGGTGGGAATTCGAATTCTCAGCAGGGGAGTGAGTCAACTGGAGCTGAACCCACCCATTCATCGGAGACCCGGACTTGAGCAGCTGACCCCTCCAGTCCCAGCCGAGCGCTTGACCATTGCGCTGTCAGTGGACTGCAGCCTGGAGAACCCTGTGGGGCAGTGCTACTCCATGGAGTGGAGTCAGAATGGACAGCCGTGGGGTCTGCTTTGTGGCGCCCCAGTCCCTCCAGGTCACTCCCAGGGCCGCCCCCCCGCCCCCCGCCCAGGGGGGTCAGCGAGGGTGAGTCTGGCCACTGCGGTGGGGCCTCCAGAGGAGGGGTGGAGGTGGGGGGTTCCGTACCTGGAGCAGCATCTCTGGGTGCAGCTGGAAGCGGAGCTGCACCAGGTTTCCAAGGACGGGGAGGGGGAAAGGGCCCGGAGGCAGGCAGCTCCTGGCCCAGTAGAATGCACCGAGTTTCAGGAGCAGGAAGGAGGTGGCCAGCAGAGCCAGCCCGCTGAGCAGGGAGGTCCAGAGGCCCCTCTCTTCCATTCTGCGCTCTGGTGCTGCAGCCACGGCTGTGCCCAGCCCTTCCCTCTATTGCTTCCCTTTATCTCCCATGCCACCTGACCTCTGCTTTTAGG